AAATGTTGCATCGCCAGCTTGTCCATAATGGAGGGGTTTAAGGTAAAAATCGCTGAGAGCCACAGAACGCATTCAGACACAATGAAGAGTCAGAACAGAACAAAGCAGGATGAGAATAGCCCGCTTTGCTCTGGGCCTGGGGAGGGGGGATCGTGGCGGGCCCAGGGGGTCCCGGGGCCTGGGACTCCCAGTGGGAGCTTTTTAAAACATTTCTGATTGCCCTGAGCTTAATGAGGTCACTGACTCAGATGAGCCTCCTCCTCTACATCCCTATCTTGTCCCTGAAGTATGACTCAGGCCTCCACCTGCCAAAAGGACTTTAATTTTTATTTAAAACATGCAAATCTGTTGACCTATGCAAAGTATGGAAGAGGATGGGCTTGTTAGCTTTACATACATCAGAATGAAGCTGCTTGACAAGCTGTAAATATAGGTTTTCTTTACAGTTTGTTGTATAATCTACCTCCAACCTAATTTAATCATGTGATAACGGAGATCATTTCAGGAACCCTCATGGGGTGCCGTTTGTAAAGTTACACAGTCAAAAATTACCAAGTCACAAGTAAGTTAGTTTGTTGGTTTGTTAACTAAATATTTAATTTGTAAGTTAAATATTTAGCTTATAAACTATGACATTTATAAATGTATGAATCATATGGTGAAAAAGTGACTTTGAAAAATAAATCTGTTCTATTTTTCTTATAAAAGGTTAAATAAAACAAAAATATTGGTGGTAATTTTTGACTGTGTAACTTTACAAACGGCAGCCCATAAACCCTCATAGTTAGGTCATAATTTTATTATTATTATTATTATTATTAGAGCAGGAAGTGAGAAGAATGACATGCAGTCCAAATAATTTGTTTAGGTAATGAGCAGATAAAAAAAAGAATTGATTTAATTTTAGTGACTTAATGTTATTGATTTAATTTCTTAAATTAAAGCAAACTGACCCATATCTAAGYATGCTGATTTCTAAATGAAAACAATCAGTAAAAGAATCAATAGACTAAAGTCTGAGTGACTCAACCCAACAGAAAAGTAACTCTACAGCCTGTAAAGTTTCTTTCTGCATTTTTTTTTTTACATTTCAATCCTCAGGCTTAGTATTCGTCTGTCTGCAGCAGATTGAAGCACACAGTCCCACTCTGAGATTTAGCTGCTTCTAAATCTAGTTCTGTGAAAGCAAAAGCACCAGACAGACATGTTTTCAGTCACAGAAAGCTCCCATCATTAAAAGGATCAATCCAACACTTACCAGCAAAACAAAAACACAGAAATGCAGATTCAACAAGGTTTTCGATCCCTCACGGTCTCCTCTGTTCCTGTTTTTTCATGTCATTACTCTCAGCTCAGATCAGCGCTCCTGTTTCTCCACCTGTGTGGAAGTCTAACTGAAGTCTTGGTCCTCGCCTGCCAGCAGAAGATGGGTTCCTGTTCCTGTGAGGGCTGTGAAAGCTGGAGGTTGTCTCTGACCTCGCCACCACCCTCACATGTGCAGCTTGCACGTTGTTTGTAAAATGAGTTGCCTTAGTTGCACTCCCACCCTCACTGCCTCCTCCTCCTCCTCCCTTCCTCTCACTACGTGTGCAGGAGGTGAAAGACCCTTTCATGAAGACAGATGAAGTCAGACACTTCCCGCTCAGGTGTGAGCATTCAGAACTGAAGGAGAACCAAAATAGCAGAACTCAGTTGGGAGATAGGGAAGTGACATTGTGTGTTGGTCAAGTGACTTCATGATTCACTGCAGCAACACAGTATTAGCTCAGAGGGCAAACGTCTGGTGGTAGATATTGACTAACAGCCCTGATTACAAGTTGTCTGTAAGTTAAACAAACTTCTCTCATTTTGCATCTAAATGTAAAGAAAATCTTGGAGAGAAAAAATATGTGTCGTTCAAAATGGTATGTCTGAATCAACCAATCCAATCCACAGAGGAGGACAACAGAGCTGCTTGATGGAAGAAGAACCTCAGCTTAGCCTGTTAGCTTTAGCATTAGCCTCAATGCTATCACCATATTAGCTC